CTTTTGGGACCTTAAATCTGCAACCTTATGCTACTCTAGTTCGAAATGCCCTTTTATCATGGTTTGCCCTTTGATTATCACAGATCACTTGTCCAATATATTGTGTGATGTCCTTTAACCTTTTGATTACACAAAGTTTTAGAAATGAAGTTATTTAAATAAAATCTCAATGCGTAAGAGATGTTTCGAAATATATTGACCAACTGACTTTTTGGGATCAAAGTGGACTCGTTGGCCTGAATAAATTATCTCACAATCAAATTAGGATTTGGGCGCACGTTCACTCGATGTTGCACTTTATTGCACTCGGGAGATTCCAATAACGAGTGTTGATATAATTACACCGTCATGTGAGCCGAGCTTCATACAAAATGAAGACATGCCCATTTATGCACATTATTGTGTGTACAACGCCACACATAAATTGCACTTTGGGGACGAGCCCTCCTAATACGGGTGTGCAATGCACTCATTGTTCATCCGACAGCCTGAATTAATTTAATAAAATCCGTAACATTTTATGGGCCATTAATTAAGGTATTAAAAGGAACAGGACACTGTTGTTTAAGTGGTTTCTAAATTAATTGATTGGAAGCTATTTGCTAAAATTTTGTTGTTGCACAAATGTTGTTTAGCCATGAATTGGCGTAGTCAACTAAAATATATGGTCTTTCAAAACGCATTAAGAAGTCAAAATGCTGCCCAATGCATTCATTATTCATTGATTAATATAAATGTGTTATATAAACAATAGTTGCTCCGCATGTTCCAATACAATTTCATGCTATTGAATTACATGGATATTATTCTAAAAATACTATTTTTGGATTAACTTAAAGCTTTGTTTTAAATTTTTGATCCGACAATTTAAAAAATAAATTATATGCATTTGTATGTATAGACTTCGTTACCTTTGACCGTGCCGAAAATAGCTCACATAAAGAGCATCGTTTGCATAATTGCCTTTTAATTACCATGCAAAAGCACACATTGTATGTAAATATGTATATACATATTTCTTTATAAATAGATGTGTAACAGATCGCAACAGGTGTCTGTGGCTAACTTAGAAACTCACATTTTTGACAAATTTTGCCACAAATGTTGCGTCATATTTCCTTTTTTATGGTAGAGAAACTTGAGTTTCATATTACTTTTAAGATCAGTTTTAGTTAGAACTTTCATTTTCATTTATTCACAATTTCTTTTTGAATTCTCCGCATAATCTGGTGCTCACTGTTTAGAGCGTTCAGTACATGCGTGATGTCGGTGCAAAAGTAGCACAGACTCTGTTAAAGTAAACAAATTTTTTATTTCATTAGCCCCGCTACAATTGCTGGTGTCTGGCGTTGTGTCTTCTCGCGACTTGGCTTTTCTTTTGGGGGGCCCCCCATTTTTTTGCTGAGTGTAAGAGGGGGGACACGTTCAGCTAGGAATGTCGAACATTTAGCCCGTTGCTGTGGGTGTGTTGATGCGATCGTGTAAACGCAAAAATATGCGCAAAGCAATAAAAACGCAACAATAAGCAAACAAATGGAATATATGCATGAAATTAGCTATGTAGACAGTGATAAAATGTTGTTCTCTCCACTTTGCAAACTTGTTTAATAATTAACAAGAAAGGAAAGCTAACTTCGGGCGGAGCCGAAGTTGATATACCCTTGCAGAATACTCTGTAAATTATATTCTCCAAAATTATTCATATGATGCATTCTTAATACTCATAAAAAATCCCAACTTCCTACCTTTAAAAACACCAAAGTTATGGCATTTCCAATTGTTCAGTTATATGGCAGCTATAGGATATAGTCGGCCGATCCTTATGAAATTTGGTAGGTCGGATTGATTAGCCAAATATAAAACCCATAGAAAATCCCAACTTCCTAACTTTACAAACACCAAAGTTATGGCATTTTCGATCAATCAGTTATATGGCAGCTATAGGATATAGTCGGCCGATCCTTATGAAATTTGGTAGGTCGGATTGATTAGCCAAATATAAAACCCATAGAAAATCCCAACTTCCTAACTTTACAAACACCAAAGTTATGGCATTTTCGATCAATCAGTTATATGGCAGCTATAGGATATAGTCGGCCGATCCTTATGAAATTTGGTAGGTCGGATTGATTAGCCAAATATAAAACCCATAGAAAATCCCAACTTCCTAACTTTACAAACACCAAAGTTATGGCATTTCCGATCAATCAGTTATATAGCAGCTATAGGATATAGTCGGCCGATCCTTATGAAATTTGGTACGTCGGATTGATTGGCCAAATATAATACCCATAGAGAGTCCCAACTTCCTAACTTAACAAACAGCAGAGTTATGGCATTTCCGATCAATCAGTTATATGGCAGCTATAGGATATAGTCGGCCGATCCCGGCCGTTCCGACTTATATACTGCGTGCAAAGGAAAGAAGGGTGTGTGCAAAGTTTCAATTCGATAGCTTTAAAACTGAGAGACTAGTTTGCGTAGAAACAGACAGACGGACAGACAGACGGACAGACAGACGGACAGACAGACGGACAGACGGACAGACGGACATGGCTATATCAACTCAGGAGGTGATCCTGATCAAGAATATATATACTTTATAGGGTCGGAGATGTCTCCTTCACTGCGTTGCACACTTTTGACCAAAATTATAATACCCTCTGCAAGGGTATAAAAATCAGCACACACTCAACTCATTAAATTTTGTGTGTGTGTACATCAAAATCATATGGATTTGCATAAAAATACTTCGTTTTGATACCAATTTGCATTGAAGTGCCCAAGTTTCCGATTCCCGGTTGATATATTTGCATTAAACAGTAGATTTTAAAGTCTAAAATTTTCAACTCGAATGACTATGTCGAACAAAACAAAGTAATCACCTAAAACCTATAAACCACAAAGTTTGTAGTCAGTTTTCGGTTGTAATTGTCATCAAATAAACGAGAGATTTTAATGTCTTTTTCGCAATGAACTTAAGTCGTTAAATTACAATGTTAGAAAGTAATTGATTTTCAAATACACTGTAAAACAGTTATCTAACTTACGTTAAAGGAAGTCAATCTTAACTTTGTTGTTTTATAACATTATGGATTTATTTTTATGAAAATCGGGCGAATATACCATATAGCTGCCATAGGAAAATTGATCCATAAATCAACATAGCTTCATTGTTTTAAAGCATACACGCATAAAAATCGATTGTTTGGGAAGACTTGACTTTCTAAAAAGTCAGTACTAGAGTTTGGATCAATTGTCTTTATTCGACTTTGTTCCTTTGCTATACAATCAACTAAATTTCCATTGAATTAAAAGCAGTGAGCAGTTTAATTTCTGCGTCATTCCATCGCCTGTTTAATTTGGAATAGGCAGCTGACTTTAACCCGAACCACGGGGCGGATGTGTGATGTTTTCAAACGGCACTCGGCAGGACGCACGTGTTTTTGGCCCTATTCTTTTAGTTATAACTGCTGTTGCCATTGCTGTTCTGCAGTTGTCAGTCAATACGTCACTTGCAGACTGGTAGCAGTTACCAGTTACCAGTGTTTGTATGCCAGTCAGTTGCTGTCTGTTTGTGCAACCGCGTTGCGGTGATTGTTAGCGCTATATTTATTCAGACGGTGTTGAATATTTTTCTAATTCATCTGCACATATTTGCATTTGTGCAAGGAATGACAGCCAGCAACAAGCCCCAACAAAAATTGTGTGTTGTGTTTGCTTTATTACGAAACACTGCAATTAATCAAAAAACCTGAAACGATGCCAAAAACGTCGAAATGTGTGAAGCTAGTGCTGCCAATCAGAGCACAAATTAACTGTAACTTGAAACCGGTCGTGTGGCTTTTGTCACTAGTTCTTTGTTGACCAAATATTAAAAAAAAAACACTGATTATAAGTGATAATGCAGTTGACAGCAGAAGAATTATAAACTAAATGCTTTTAAATATAAAATAAGTTATAGCCTGAAACTTTTTATGCAGCTTTCTATTTTGTTAATGGTTTTGATATTAAAGATTTAAATAAAGTATATTTTGCAATCGTAAAGAAGCTTTTAAGGCTTTCTTAACAAATCTTAAAAATTATTAATGATGTTTTTGATTGAAGTTTCATTAAATTAAATGATGTGCTTTCCCAGCTAAATTTAAATACTACCCGGACTCCCTTTATGTGGTTTCTGTCCCATGGGTTATTCTTCAAAATTTAATTTAATTTTAAATTTAAATTTAATTTAAAACCCTGGTTTTGTGCGATTTCCGTCATCACTGTAACTGTAGGAAACTGTAATGTTGTTAAACTATAAATAGTCTATTAAATTTGATTTTGGCAGATTCTGTTTATGCGAGAAAACTGTAAAAATAATATAGTTTTTGATTTTAATTCGGTATGTGATTTACTATTGCAGTCGGCATGAAATGATTTTTCGTTCCCCTATTTCTGGCTAATAAACTGATGCAATTGTGGGCAATTGTTTAACTGTAAAAGGCCACCCACACAACTGCCAATTGTGAATGCAACAGTTGCGGTCAAGCTAATAACACTTTATGATATCATAAATACATTTTTGTTTGGTTTTAGGAGGGCTTCCTTTAAAAGAAAGGGTTTACAATTTATATGTATACAAATCATTTTTTTTTTTATATATTTTTGAGACTAAATAAAATGTTTTTTAAATTATTTATAAAATAAAAGGATGAAATAGTAATCTAGTACCTATTTTTCCATATTATTATATTCAAAGGAAATATATATGTATATTTTTAAAGGGCAAACTTACTTGTGTAATAGTCGCATTATGTGGTGAGCTTTTAGGTACCCATACAAACCGCACCGTAAAGGTATTTGATTCATATGCCCACGAATAAAGGAGAGGATATGTATGGTGGTCGGAATGGGGCTCTAGGTACACTGAACATTTATTATTTATACCAGCCGTGTACTGTGCGCTAACATGAATATAAATACCAATGCTAATGCGGCTCTACCATTTTCCATTGCAGAGCGCGAGGAATAACAGCCAGTGCGGGGAATCCCAGGAACAGGACAAAAGCAAAGGCAAGGAGCAACACCAGGTGGTGGTGGAGCAGAAGCTGGCGCGTCTGGGGCAGTGACACGTGATCAGGTGGGAAGCCAGCCAGAAACGAATCTCCGGAGTCAGCAGTCGAGGACGCAGGCGGGGCAGTCGGAGGATCGGGCAAACATGTCTTCGCCGGCGGCGCAGAGCAACAGCAGCAGCAGCCAGTCGCAGTCCGCAGCCCAGCAGCAGCAGCAGCAGCAGAATCAAAAGGCCAATGTCAACAACACACACGACAACAAGAATGCCTCGGCGACGACGGGGACAGCAGGTGGATCGGGATCGGGATCGGTGGGATCGGGAACCGGTGGATCCTCGGCGGCGGGCACACAACAGCAGGGGCAGGGCGGAACCTCGAGCGGACCAACGAGTCCCACTAAGCGCAGCACAATATCGACAAAGGAGCGTGTGATCGACAGCGTGGCATTTCCGCCGAGCCGCAAACTCACCTGCGCGGATGTGTTCGACGCGCGGACCGGAAAGCCGCAGCACGATGTCCTCAAGCAGCACTTTATCCTGGAGGGCAGGATCGAGGAGAGCGCCGCCCTGCGCATCATCCAGGAGGGCGCCACGCTGCTGCGCACGGAAAAGACGATGATCGACATTGAGGCGCCGGTGACGGTGTGCGGTGATATCCACGGCCAGTTCTACGACCTGATGAAGCTATTTGAGATCGGCGGCTCGCCGGCGACCACCAAGTATCTGTTCCTGGGCGACTACGTCGATCGGGGCTACTTCAGCATCGAGTGCGTCCTGTATTTGTGGTCGCTGAAGATCACCTATCCGCAGACGCTGTTCCTGCTGCGCGGCAACCACGAGTGCCGGCATTTGACCGAGTACTTCACCTTCAAGCAGGAGTGCAAGATCAAGTACTCGGAGCGCGTGTACGACGCCTGCATGGACGCATTCGACTGCCTGCCGCTGGCGGCGCTCATGAACCAGCAGTTCCTGTGCGTGCACGGCGGCCTGTCGCCCGAGATACACGAGCTGGAGGACATACGGCGGCTCGACCGCTTCAAGGAGCCGCCCGCCTTCGGCCCCATGTGCGACCTGCTGTGGTCGGACCCGCTGGAGGACTTCGGCAACGAGAAGAACTCGGACTTCTACACGCACAACTCCGTGCGCGGCTGCTCGTACTTCTACAGCTACGCCGCCTGCTGCGACTTCCTGCAGAACAACAACCTGCTGTCGATCATCCGGGCGCACGAGGCGCAGGACGCCGGCTACCGCATGTACCGCAAGAGCCAGACCACCGGCTTCCCCTCGCTTATCACCATTTTCTCGGCGCCCAACTATCTCGATGTGTACAACAACAAGGCGGCGGTGCTGAAGTACGAGAACAACGTGATGAACATCCGGCAGTTCAACTGCTCGCCGCACCCCTACTGGCTGCCCAACTTCATGGACGTGTTCACCTGGTCGCTGCCTTTCGTGGGGGAGAAGGTCACCGAGATGCTGGTGAACGTGCTGAACATCTGCTCCGACGACGAGCTCATGACCGAGGAGAGCGAGGAGCCGCTCTCGGACGACGAGGCGGCGCTGCGCAAGGAGGTGATCCGCAACAAGATCCGTGCCATCGGCAAGATGGCGCGCGTCTTCTCCGTGCTGCGCGAGGAGTCCGAGTCGGTGCTGCAGCTGAAGGGCCTGACGCCCACGGGCGCCCTGCCCCTCGGCGCCCTCTCCGGCGGCAAGCAGTCGCTCAAGAACGCCATGCAGGGCTTCTCGCCCAACCACAAGATTACCTCGTTCGCGGAGGCCAAGGGCCTGGATGCCGTCAACGAACGGATGCCGCCGCGGCGGGATGCCACGCCCTCGCCGGCGGAGGAGGGCCAGAAATCACTGTCAGCCGCGGCAGCAGCAGCGGCAAATGCAAATGCGAATTCAATCAATGGATAATTCTAAGTCAGTTAGCAACAGCTGCAGCCACAGCTACAGCTAAATAACAAGTCAAGTTAGTCAGTCGGATCGATGGATCGTTGGGTCTTCTGTGGATCTATGGATCCATGGGATCGGAGGAGCGGAGGATGAGGAGCAGCAAAGTCAGTTAGTAGCGAACGGTGGAGGGAGTCAGCAAGCAGTTCGGAACGGAAGAATAGTCTCAAGTTCGGCTCAAAGGAGATATAAACTGGGCATACAGACATACAACACAGCTAAGTGAAAGATCATATACGGAAGTCGAAATTGATCAAGGATAGTAAGGATCAGAAGCAGAGACACCACAACAACAACAAAAACAACAACAACACAGCAAGCGTTAACGAGTACTTATTGGTATTAAAAGCAAACAATTGAAAGTAACCATGCGAAAAACCCCTAAAATGGAAACTAATTATAAAGTTGAAAGATTATAGAATTATATATATATATATATATATATATACATATATATATCAAAATTTTGTGCAACGTTATATCAAAAGAGCAAATGTAAAAGCTAAGCAACAATGGTTAAAAGCGCGCATGCGCGTCGGGCTTTCGGCGAGCAGTTGATAAGAAGAAGTAGACAGATGAAGTTGCAAGTTGCAAGTTGCGCGCATTCCCCCATTTAAAAGAAACAAGAACAAAAATTATTAAAAGCATAATAGGTAATTTAAATTATTTGCTAAAAAATTGTAAAACGAATCGAAAACCAACTCTCTCATCTCTGTAAAGTCAAACCAAACGAAGTGACAAAAGCAAAAGATAACTAAACCTAGCATCTAAACTGAAACTAAAGCTAAAGGAAATTCTACTATTTTCGTTGTGTGGCGTCTGCGGCGACTTCTTCTTAAAAAAAACCAAAAAAAAAAAAGAAATGAAAGAATGAAACAACTTCCTACAACAACAACAACAACAGCAGCAACAATATTTTACTACAATATTTTAATACAAGAACAAAAACGACTGAATCTCTCTCTATCTATCTAACTATCCGACTCTTTCTCTCTCGCACACACAACATCAACACACCATACACCACACACCATACACATACACCAACCAACAAGCGGGGCAATGATCCAACTCAAAGTTGATCGTGCCTCGCCGATCGCTTATCGGTAATCGTTTATCGTCGCCATTGTCGCCTCACACTCTCTCATCTGGTGATTGTGTATGTGGTCTTTATATACGTGCCATCTTTGTCGTAGTCATTAGCTGAATATATAATTAATACATTTGCATGGGCCGCAGCGATGCAGGCGCCAGTGCTGTGCCACCCCACCACCCACCTCCAGCCTGCCACCAATCGAAATAATCGAAATGATCGAAATAATCGAATCTCAAGGAGCGTCGATAGGCTGAACCCGTTCTTTCCCCTTGCCTCCCCGTTCCCCAACCGCATTTGCGCCTGCCTCGTCGTCGTCGTGTGCAAATCCTTTTTATACTTAATGGAATTTTTGTTACTTTTTAAAGTCAAAGAGAAGAATAATATGATGAAGAGGAGAAATCAAAGGGGGATATGAACAGAGCAGAACAGAAGCCTAACTGAAAAAGAAGATGTAATTAACGTGTGCAAAGGGAATTTTGTTATATCTTAAATTTTTTATATTTCTTGTTATCTTTTTTATAATTTGTATTTATTGTAAACTATTTATATATATATATACACACACAATCAGCAAAACACATAATATAAATACATAAATATATATTTATAAACTAAATTGTTGTTTCTTCTTCATTATTGTTTACTACACATTTTTCTATAAGCGTTAAGTAATTTAATTAAATGAATTTAATAAAATGAAAAATTAAATAAACAAAAAACCGCCTACTGCCAAACAGGGCAAGGCAAAACGTTTTCTTAAACAAAAATAATTATATTCTACAATAAGAAGTAAGGAAAAATCATTAACAACAACAAAAAACCAAAACCGAACTATGTGAATTAACTATTAAGTTTAAATTATACAACAACAAGATGATTAAACCAAATAACGTTTACAACCATTAACAAAAGAAATATGTTGAAACCAAAAAAGCAAAGAATTGTGCAGCATGCAAAAACACAAAAAAAAAAAACAAAAACAATTTTTCAAATTCGACAAGACAACAAACAAACCCAATTTAAAGTTAAAAGAAAATGTAATACAAAATGCAAACTTATAGCAATTTGAAGTACTTTATAAACAAATATACATACATACGCCTAAGAGAACGTATATACACATATATATACATATATATATATATATATTTGAAATAGTTAAGGGTCGAAGTTGGTACTAAGATTATACGCACGGGATTTTTTTTGGAAATAAAAATGTATCGCTGCTCCACTTCTGTGGATGACAACGATTGGTTCTCAATTTGCAAAGGTTTTAGTCAGTAATAGCTTTTGTGACTTACTAATGTGCAATTGAAAAAGTTACTATGATTATTGGGCAATAATTGGTTATCGATAAATTTGTATTGGCCAAAAAAGGCGTGCGTATAAACTAAGTATGAGACGAAAAGAGAAGGAGATAAAGAGCGAGCGGCAGCTAATCGAAAAACCAAGACAAAAAACAGAAAAAGTGAAATGGAAAAGTGCAGCAGCAATCAGAAGTGCAGTAAAAGTCGATGACAAATTTGAATTAAGTTGATATGCACCCATTAATACACAAACACACAGACGCAGCATGCTTTTGGGGAGCGAGAGGGATGGAAAGCATGCTTGGCAAGCAGTCGACAAGCAGTTCGGGCACCCCAAGCACAGTGGACCTGATCGCTTCGTTTTCTTGCCACTTTCCACCATCCGCTCCCGCTTCTTCCTTGCGTGTTTTTTGCCTTTGCGCGCGTGCCCATGCGCAGCAGCAGCTACGTCATCAAGCAGTTAATGGTTACAGATGATTTACATTTATATATATTTACATATATATATATATATATCCATATACAATATAAACCGATCTAAAGTTAAGCGTTTCAAACACAGACACAACAATTTACAAGACGTTTATGCATTTCGATTCAATGAAAAACCAAGAATACGAATAATACAAATATTATAAACAATAATTACAGCCAATAAAGGATTACAGCAAACAAGCTCTTACTATTATTTTTAAAGTAAATGAGACGTTTTTAACAAATTACCGCATCCCAAATACATATGTATAGCATATAACTGAATACTTTTCTCCTCCAACGTTCCCACAATAAAAAAAAAACCAAAGGAAAAACAAATTAGCGCGCTCTTCTAAAATAAAAAGCAAATGCAAAAACCAAAGTAAATTAAAACACATACATTTATGAGAAGAAACCCAAAAACCAAAATATATAACATATTACGACTAAGCGAATAATATATAAAAAAATACTTTTATACTATATACACGAAGCCTATGAACTAAACAAAAGCGAAACAAGATTATAATAATGACTCCCCTCTCGCTCTACCCTCTCCATTCTCCTGTCGTCCTGCTCCTGCTCTTTGCTCTCTCTCTCTCTCTCTCGCACTTACGAGCTCTTGACTTCAACTTCGACCTTGACCCTTTCTGTCATCTCTGTCTCTCTTTCTCTCTCTCTCTCTCTGTCTTTTCAATGACCTAAGAACCCAGCAAAAATGCGAAACCAAACCAAAACCACACATTTTAACGGTACATTTTCTACTACACCATATTTAAATATGAAATACAAGAGAAGAAGCGAATAAAACTTAGAAACCAAATTACCAATTACAGCAAACAACAATTTCCAAACAAAAATCAATCGGGCCTTTTTTGAATTTCGCTTTTGGCAGAATTTACCGAATTGTAATGTTTGCAGCGGATGCATCGTTTACAAACAGCTTTAAATGCCAACACAGCAATCTCTAGGGGTTTAAAACCACTTGAAAGGGTGTCTAAAGTATTGATAGATAGATTAGAGTCTTTTGGCACTTATCCATCGGACTTCCAAATTAAAGACTTATCATAACAAACATACATTAAGACACGTTTATAAGTGATTTCAAAGTTCTAGAAAAATCAAGCAAATGATATACTTATATGCTTTTCCAGCTAATTAAAGTGCATTTTGAATTTGATAGTTTCTACCGAAAGTTAAAATCAGAAGAGGTCGGTTACAAATAATTCCACTCCTAATTTAAAATCGAAAAGAGCGCATATTGAACACTTAAGTTTTGAGTTTGTTTCGATATTTCCGTTGGACTGTTAATTTGTCGATTAGCTTGAACTACTATGTACAATCAAATACTTAAGTCGTTTTAAGTAAGCCATTTTGTTAACCAATTGTTTTTTTTTATAAACGTATATACACTTTAAATTTAACGAAAATAAAAGGAAAATGGAAAGAATTCTTGTTTTTCGTTTTCACTCATCTCCATTGCAAATGCAAATGAAAACCTATTCATCATATGTATGTATGTAATTAAATACGTTACCTTAATTTTTTTGATACATGTATTTTTCAACATCTACTTCCTGCCCTCGAATGCTTTAAAACTTTACACGAAAAAGAAAACAATTTAATATATATTATAAACAAAAAAAAAGGAAGGACTAAGAAAAACAAAAAAAAAACAAGAAAAACCAAATGAAGAAAAAAACAAAAAGAATTAAAACTTTACCTTTTGGATAAATCAATTTAAATGCATATTTTATATATATTTAAACATTTATTTATATATAACATGTATAATAAATATAAGTTGGAAAAACTTTGTCAAAGCAAAAAGTTTATATACTTATATTAAAAACAAATGAATGAAAGAAAAAACAAAAAGAAAGTAAATAATATTAAAAATGCAACATAACAAATTAACAACAAGAAAACATCACATCTAGATAAATCTCTTAAAAATTTTCAATTTTATTATTAAACCGAAACAAAAACAAAAGTTAATGAATAAACTAATTTATAACTGTATTGCAAGGGCAGCTGGCTGGCAAAAATTACATAATAATTGCGCCGTTGTGACAAAAATTGTATGCAATCCAAGGAATAACAAATTAATTTACAAGATAAAGATAATGGAGATGTAGACGATGGAGAATGAAAGAAGGCAACAACAAAATGCAGACAACAAGTTTTAACCTTAAGTGAATGCAAAACAAAATCAAGAAAACCAAACAAAACCAAATGATTATCAATGTTATTAACATAATTAATATTAACAAAATGAAAAAAACAAGCAAAAAACAAAAAAAAAATACAAAAACATTAAAAAAATATACAAGTACCTATCCTGAGAATAAAATGCGCGCACATTTATTATTTCCTCTAAAAGTTCGTTTGAGTCTCTGCCAGTCCATTTCGTCGTCGGGGAATATTAGAATAATAATAATAATAATCCATGGGCACGTCCAGAATTTGCTCCTTACCTTAATAGTTTACCATAGGGGGCTTGGTTTCGTTCTATTCCAGGGTACAAAACTAACATATATTGGTCTTACATATCGGATCTTCTTATTTTGGAGTCATTTACATCGGGCAATAATGTGTCAGCAAGTATCTTTATTTGATAAAGCATTTACTTAAAGTAAGTATATCTGTAAACATTTTGAAAACATATTTATTTTAAAATGCCTTTTGATTAGATAAACCGCAGTAGTTGCAACTTAGCTATCGAATATTCACGTTGAGTCATTTGTATGAGTTATGCAAATATAATCATAACCAACCACCGGTTTTATTTAAACCAGTTTGTCGGTCATCTTTAAAATAAACAAAATAACCGCTGTGTAAAAGCATTTTTCATGATTTTGATTAAGTTACAGAATTTTTCAACAAACATCTGTTTAAATTTTGAATTTTTAATTACAAATAAAAATCTTAACTACGATATCTTATATCTGGTCGTCCTATTGAATTCAAATAAAGTTTAATTGAAAACTTGAACTTTCTAAAAAAATGTCTATCAATGTTTCGAACCTTCTGGTATTTTGATATAGTGCATTATTAAGATCCCCGATTCTACTAATATTCTATGAATATCAATATATTGTTTTAATGAAATATTTTGAAAATAAACTACAGAAAATATTGTTATTCTTGAAATATTATATGATTTGTATGTATGATGTATTCCATAAACTCCATGAAATTCCAGGTTTTATTCCCGGCTAAGGTTTTTGGTATTTCTTCTAGGGCCACGAGGGTATATTTGAACTTTCAACCAACGGTCACACTGCTGAAAATTCCATTAAAACGAGAAAAAAACGTAGCGAAAGAGAGAAATTACGACGTCTGCAGGGCCGTAGCGAAAAAACCAGCAAAAATTGAGACAGAGTGACTATGATTGTTGTTAAGTGAAAGCAACATCAAGGAAAACGGCCACAGCTTGAGGGAAAGCAGCGGAGTCAGCGTTTGAAAAGCCAGCAGAAAGCGAATCAAAGCTGGAAGGCGATAAAGCGGCTCACCAGGCACCAACAACACAGCAGCAGCAGCAGCCAGGGAAAGTGCGAGAGTGTGCGTGCGTGTGAGTGAGAGTGCGAGTGTGTGGGCAGTGAAAACTGAACTGAGCCAAGAGAGAGCGAGTGCGAGAGAGAGCGCCAGAGTGGAAGTGGGAGCGGGAGAGGAGCAGTCCGATTCCGAATCCCGGAATAGAAACAATAGAAGCCTCCAGACCATGTCTTCGAATAACCAGAACCCGAGCACCGTTGGCCAGGCGGCAACAAGTGCCCGTACGACAGAAGCCACAGATGCCAATAGTACCGCCTCCAACAACAATAATAGCAGCAGTACCGCTGCAGCGGGCGCCACCTCGCAGAGCAACAACAGCGAAAGCAGCAGTCCCACCGCTGGAACGGGAACGGGCACGGGAGCGAGCACTGCAAAGCTGCACGGTGGCCACACGGCGGTGAACACCAAGGAGCGGGTTGTGGACAGCGTGCCCTTCCCGCCCAGCCACAAGCTGACTTTGGCGGAGGTGTTCGACCAGCGGACCGGGAAGCCCAACCACGAGCTGCTCAAGCAGCACTTCATCCTGGAGGGAAGGATCGAGGAGGCGCCCGCCCTGAAGATCATCCAGGATGGAGCCGCTCTGCTGAGGCAGGAGAAGACGATGATCGACATCGAGGCGCCGGTGACGGTGTGTGGCGATATCCATGGCCAGTTCTACGACCTGATGAAGCTGTTCGAAGTGGGCGGCTCGCCGGCGACCACCAAGTATCTGTTCCTGGGCGACTACGTCGATCGGGGCTACTTCAGCATCGAGTGCGTCCTGTATTTGTGGTCGCTGAAGATCACCTATCCGCAGACGCTGTTCCTGCTGCGCGGCAACCACGAGTGCCGGCATTTGACCGAGTACTTCACCTTCAAGCAGGAGTGCAAGATCAAGTACTCGGAGCGCGTGTACGACGCCTGCATGGACGCATTCGACTGCCTGCCGCTGGCGGCGCTCATGAACCAGCAGTTCCTGTGCGTGCACGGCGGCCTGTCGCCCGAGATACACGAGCTGGAGGACATACGGCGGCTCGACCGCTTCAAGGAGCCGCCCGCCTTCGGCCCCATGTGCGACCTGCTGTGGTCGGACCCGCTGGAGGACTTCGGCAACGAGAAGAACTCGGACTTCTACACGCACAACTCCGTGCGCGGCTGCTCGTACTTCTACAGCTACGCCGCCTGCTGCGACTTCCTGCAGAACAACAACCTGCTGTCGATCATCCGGGCGCACGAGGCGCAGGACGCCGGCTACCGCATGTACCGCAAGAGCCAGACCACCGGCTTCCCCTCGCTGATCACCATCTTCTCGGCGCCCAACTATCTCGACGTGTACAACAACAAGGCGGCGGTGCTGAAGTACGAGAACAACGTGATGAACATCCGGCAGTTCAACTGCTCGCCGCACCCCTACTGGCTGCCCAACTTCATGGACGTGTTCACCTGGTCGCTGCCTTTCGTGGGGGAGAAGGTCACCGAGATGCTGGTGAACGTGCTGAACATCTGCTCCGACGACGAGCTCATGACCGAGGAGAGCGAGGAGCCGCTCTCGGACGACGAGGCGGCGCTGCGCAAGGAGGTGATCCGCAACAAGATCCGTGCCATCGGCAAGATGGCGCGCGTCTTCTCCGTGCTGCGCGAGGAGTCCGAGTCGGTGCTGCAGCTGAAGGGCCTGACGCCCACGGGCGCCCTGCCCCTCGGCGCCCTCTCCGGCGGCAAGCAGTCGCTCAAGAACGCCATGCAGGGCTTCTCGCCCAACCACAAGATTACCTCGTTCGCGGAGGCCAAGGGCCTGGATGCCGTCAACGAACGGATGCCGCCGCGGCGGGACCAGCCGCCCACGCCCAGCGAGGATCCGCATCATCAGATCCAGCACAGTCAGCAGGGCGGCAACAATGGGGCTGGGCACGGGTAAGCTGTGCCTTTCTATGCGGCTGCAGGACGAGGATGCGGATGCGGATGCGGATGCGGATGCGGCGCGGTGGAGTCTGGCGAGGAGTGGTCTGGAGGAGGGGCCGAGTGGAGCGGAGCGGAGGCAACACAAAGAACACCAACCGAACGTAACCTTAATTAAGCTTAATGTGGCAGAGCAACAACTTAAATACTAAAACCAATTCTAATTCTAAGTACTTGGCATAACCCCCTGCATTTCGTATGTGATCCTGCGCCAGCTCCATGCCCATGCCCATGTCCAAGGCCCAGATCCTCCAAACAGCACGGAGCAGAGATTTGTTTTTACGCAGGCGCGCGCACATTGGATATTAGAATTATGTGTGGCATACTTTGGCGCGCCCGCCCCCCAGGAAAATTCCCTTTCTCAAGAGCAGAAAACCAACCGTAACCCATAACCTAGCCTAAGTTGTAATGTATAAATTGATATGGGAGAATTTTAATATGGAAATTGAACAAAACCGATGGAAAATCCCCTGCAAAAATATATGAAATGAAGAACCCCTTTAGAAAGAAGCACTAACCCAAAAGAAGAGTTGGGAAAAAATCCAGCGCTAATCTGTTCCAAACATTTAGCAGCGCCAAAAAGAAGCGTACATATATGTATACATATGATTATATAGAATTATCGAAGCATAGAGCCGAGATGTAACCGAAAGTGTAATGAAATTCGAAATGAACAAAGGTCATTGATGTAATAATCGTAATCCTTGAACTCTAGAAATGTAATGTTATCTTGCATAAAAAACAAAACAAACAATTTCGAAACCATTTGCAATATGTGCCGCAATAGTCCATAAATGTTCCTTATACGAATTAAACATTGAAAGTGAAACCAGAGTTTATTTTTTTTTTTAAAAATATATATAAATATATTTATGTATAATTGTTGCATAATCTAACTTTGGACTTAATATCTTACATTTTACATATGCGTGTTCGACTGTGTGTGAATTGCTTGCGTTTTATTAGTTGCTTGGCTAACGAAAACAGAAAACCGGAAGAGATTATAATCGATGTTTGAGGATCTAGTCTAGCTAATTAATGAATTGATGAACACGATCGATTACATTACCGTAAATGCATTTTAAACAACACTGAGACACACACAGGCACAGAAGATCGATTACCATTTAAATAGCAAATCAAATATTAAACTTATAAATTAATATGTAAACATGATAACGTGTAATGTATTTCTGCGTGTAAATTGAACTAAAAGATTAACTAATTTAGCGAATCTATTTTTGTTGAAAGCGAATACACACACACAACTAATTTCCCCTGACTTAAAAAGCTAATTGAAAAGAGATTAGGCAAAAAAATATGTATTTAAGTAAGTATAAGGCATGGATCGGCGTTTCAGATCAATTCAATGATAATGATGGCAATCAATTTCTCAATTTCCGCCTACACCTGTTCCAAAACTAATGATATCGGCTTCCTCAGTACGGATATCAAATCAAAATATATACACACACGCAAGAAATGGCTTTATCCAGATCACATTTTTCCACGTCCCTAAAATATTTACGCTGTACTTTGCTTCAACTCTTCAACCACCAATACTTGCATTGAACTCTAATCTAAATATATATACAGATATTTATATATATATATATTACATACCGAGTTGACATTGGAAAACAGTTAGTTTTTAGTGATCTTTGCACGTATCGTAACAATACCAAGATTAATTAAATCGTAGCTAAAAGAAACAAATCAAGGATGAACAACTTGTCTAGGGAGAAAATATAGCTTTTATAAAAAAAAAAGAAACACGGAAAACAATTTACTCAACTAATTGAGAAATATACATATATATATATATATAGCGTTTTTTTTAATTCCGCAACCACAACTATATAATCATTGAAGAAGTAAAGGAAGGGAAGACGTTTATGTTTCGATGTTTCTGTTCTATATATGGTTAAATTGTTGATACTGTTATACCGCAAATGCATATTTAGTTAGTACCGAGTGAAATAGGAACTCTCCTCTAAATAAATTTAATTGCAATAGTCAAGAGTATAAAACGAAACAACACCAACACCAAAAAAAAATTGTATATACTCAGAAAACAAATTTGCACACCTCTTTAAAAATCGCCAATTGATAATTTTCAAAATGTAAAATATGTATTTTTGGTTTGAAAACAAATCTTTAATATGATAACTTTGTAGAGATCAGTTCAAAATGTCCAATACACTTTCGAAAAATTAAGAATCAAATTATTGATATAGCAGCAATTGGCGTTTGATGATGGCACGAACATTTATAATACAAAGATACAAATTTTTAAAAACTATAAAATATATGCCATAATTTAAAAAAAATAGTTTTTCGTTACTTTATCTAAATTTTGTATAACATAGAATTTCTATGCTTAAAAAAAGTAATTTTCCAAAAAAATTCAATTCAATTCCGACAGTTTATTGAAATTTTGTATTTATGATTTTGAGGGCAATTTGTATTCCGAGTGTAAGCAAATGCCATGGTAAAGTATTAAGCTAATGAGTAATAATAATTATAATCGTATAACTAACGATCCATTTGCTTAGCTCCCTCGATAATGAAAGTAACTTCCTGACACATAGTAAAAGAAGATAAATTAATAGAAAGATAGAGGGAGATATGTAGATTTTGATAATACATCAAGACCATACAAAAATACTTATGACACTATTAACAAGCATTGAAACGTTTAACATAAAGCATAATATCCAGACAAAAGCAGAATCAAAAATGCGGGAACGAGATGGCTGCATGGTACATACATATATAAGACATTTCGCCTCTTAAAGCAATTATAAAGATAACAAATGAGTAACGTTTATTATATTATTAAATTATACATACATATACATACTATATAAACGGAATAAAATAAATCAGCAGCAAACTTTCCATTTTATGGCGGTCGATTCTTTTTTTTTTTAATTTTTTCTCCAAATGAAATGGCATTTTTGAAAAAAGCTACTAAAACTAATTGGCGTAGAAAATAATTGTTTTAAAAGATAGTCTGTAACCAAAACCGTAAGTATTTTTCTTTTTTTAAGTCAGTGTAAAGGGAAAACTCTTGAGCCCTTGAGTTCGATTTCAAACTGATTATTTAAAGCTCCACAAATTTATAACGGTCGTTCGCAGGATAATAAGGGATAAATATGTCTGTTTAGATAAAATTAAAAAATAGCAAAAAGTGTAATTATTATCTAGGGAAAGAAAGTTTATATCGTCAAAACCAAAGTTTTTATAAGGATTTAAATAGGATGGGATTCCTCTTAAAGGATTCCCTTTTAAATCTTCGAGTTTCGATAAGAAAACGTGCGAAATACGGTATTTAAATTTTTTTCGGTATTAAATTCCGGTATTTTCTACCGTTTAATTTTAGCCGTTTTCGAACATGATCCAGGTGGCAACGCCGTCAGAAGAAATATTTTTGTAGATGGAGTAAAGAGCGAATTTTGTAACGCCCAAAATATCAAAATTTTAAGTGTTTGCTAGTCGTTAACGACAATCAATTTGGCCATAATAAATTCATAGTATAAATTGGCAGTTTAATACAAAATCAATAACAAACGGAGCGGCGAAAAAACGTAAGGGAGAGCGGCAAAGAGAAGAAAACAAATGCTCCCGCCCGCGTGTTTGTGGGTGTGTGAGTGCGCGGCGGGTGTCCATGTGTTCGTGAGTGTGCGTGTGTGTACGAGTGGAAGTGGAAAGTTGTGATTAACTGCAGTCGCTCTCCGGCGGTCCAAAAAAATAATCATTCAACAGTAGTGTTTAATGAACGGCCAGCAGAAAACGCGATCGCTCAACTCCTCCACTGTATCTGTTGTTGTTGTTTTTTTTGTTTTTATCAAGGAGAGGCGCCGCAACCAATAAAACCAACACACCCAGAAAGGCAACCAAGTCGTGTCATCAGTGGAAGAGGAAATACAGCAGCAGCAGCGGCAGTGGGAGAAGCAGTGGTTTTCCAGCTCCAAAAAGAGTCCTTAAAACATGGACAGCAAGGGTCGCAATGTAATCGTCTGTGATAACGGCACAGGGGTAAGAAATTCGGAATAAGGAGACACTCGCTCCACCCACAAACACACTCTCCAACGCCTACAGCTACAACGACTTTGTGTGACACACATTTCCAGATTTAAGCCGTGTTGTTGTTGCTTGTGCTTGCTGCGCTTCTTTATTTTCTTGTTCTTGTAGGTTAAGCAGAGCTCGGGCTGCCCACACTGCTTGGCGGCCCAGCGGGCGTTGACGTCGCGCTTAGTCAAGCAGTTGGACAGCTGCAATTACGCGAATGCTTCTTCTTCGCGCTTTTTAGTCACATAAACCCAAGCGATCGTCGATTACTCAGCGGTTCCAGCATTACCGCGTTACTCAGTCACACCCACACATTCACACATGCACACCAATTTCCAAAAGAGCGGCACAACAACAACACGGCTATTTCCAACATTCAGTTCTTATCGGGAAGCCCGAGAATTTTTGTTTTGTGATTACAGTCCGATTTCGATAAGAGTTCGATAAACCAAAGCGTAAAAAAGCAGGGAAATGCTACACTAAGAAAAAGAAAGAAAGTTTAAACCAAGAGAAACGAAAAAAAGGATAGTTATTGCTTAAATTGTAACTACGCAAAATGATAAGTTTATAGAATATTGAAATAAATCTAATAATTTACCAGACATTATTGAATTAATTACTAGCATTCAAAAATTAAAATTTAAATCAATAATGGTCATGTTTTTTCAGTGTATCTTTGCAACCTAAATATATAGATTACTTGATTTCTTTTTTAAACATAATGTTTATTTTTTAATAAATGAAGATATCGACATTTGTATGCAATGATCCTTTTTGGCGGGAAATATAAATATAGTTATTAAATTTTACAGATTTTACAATTAGTTAGATCGTCTTTATCTGTAATGTTAATGTATCTGTTTTTTTACATATACATAACTAAAATCATTACAATATGCAGGATCTTAAAAATTGTAATTTTTTGTTAAGGCAGTTCTAATAATAACATTAATCCATAAACTTAACCGATCTTTTACTTTTATATTGCAGTTCGTGAAGTGCGGATATGCCGGCAGCAATTTTCCCACCTTCATTTTCCCCTCGATGGTGGGACGCCCCATGATCCGGGCGGTCAACAAAATCGGCGATATCGAAGTCAAGGTATGATCCATCGTACTTACCAATTTAACTGTTTATAATAAACCAACTACATAAAAAGATAGTACAACCACACACAACACAAATTTTATTGTGCACAGGCCATCAAATACATTACCATATATAATATCATTTTTTCGATGTAACTTATCCATGACTAGTTAAACGGCAAGAACAACATTTAGCGCATAGAAGTTCACTATCCATCAACCACCCACCATATTTATCACCCCAACCCCATCTGATTTTTGAGTGAAATTGCTCTATTTTCTATTCTGTCTATTAGTGTGGCATATCTACTTACTTCTATGATTCTATGATTTGTTTTCGATCTACACCATTCACATTTCATTTCATTTTCCATCTTGATTTCAACACTGGGACTTTCCCCAATATTGCATTTTTGCTTGAGTTGCATTGGTCTCGGTGTGTGGGTCTCTCATATGATATGCATAATCCTTGTATTATGGTACAGGAATATAACTTTGGTCCGAGGGCATCGTACATACACCCATGATTAGGCTTATCTTGAAGATCACCGAATATGGAGGCCGGACCACGAAGCCATTAAGCTTTTTTTTTAGTGCATCACTTGATATCTGATATCCCCAAAAAAATAAGCATTTAACTTTATATAGATTCTTCTTAGCAGTTACTTTAGTTTAGACAGATAAAAAAACCACAAACCCATAAAAAAACACATATTGAAGTGCAAAAACAAACAATACCAAAAAATATATTTTAAAAATTGTAATCTTTCTTTTCTTTTTTAATATTCTTATACATTTTTCTGTTCTTTTTTTACATATTTTTTTAAAAACAAATGTTTTGCAGGATTTACATGTCGATGTAAGTCAAGTTTGTATAGTTTAAAAAAAAAAAAACCAAAACCAAACTACCACTAAGAAATCTAATCACCAAGCAACACAAAAATCAAACTCCATTCGGCAAAGGTTAAATAATACAAATTTTTATACGATTTACACAATACGAAAACACAAAACAACACACGATTGACAAAATATTTCGAAATTTTCTTGAATATTCCTAGTTAAAGCTCCGCACTTAGGATTTACTAATTAACTGTTAACTGTTCACATTTTTTACTCGTGTTTGCCTTGAATATTTTCCCAACTATTTTCCGGCCCTGCCATCAACTATCTTGTTGCTTCCTTTGGCCACCATCTATAATTGTACTCCATACATATCAAAATAAAATTCTAAAAAATCTTTAATCGGTTTTATCTGAGGCTTGTTAAAAAAAAAGAATTCAAATCGATTTTAATCAATTTAACGACAAACTTCCGTAAATATAATTTTTGTTATTTAACTTGTATTCCTTTGTTTTTACCAAAACGATTTTTTTAACCAGCATAACCTTAGTTTCCTGTACATATGTTAAGGCTACCCAAATCAGTTGTTTGTTGTTTTTATTTTTAATTACATTTGTAAAACTGTTCATTTTCGACTGCATGTTTTCAACTCCCTGTTTTGCTTAAGCCTAATTTGTTCCCCATTTTGTTTTGCACGTCTGTGTTTGTCCTAGCTTAGGTGTAATCCCAGCCAAGGGACTCCGAAGGAAGTCCTTTCTTGGAGTTACTCGCTTATTGTTGCCACCTTTGTTAATCGTTGATTGTTTAGCCTAGTTTAGTTTTGATCTTGTACTGTGATCGCTGTTATTGTGCCCACCCCCTGTGAATGTCCCGCATACTAACGCTTACCATCCCAGCCACTAAGTAAATCCCGCCTGAAACCAAACCCAACCAAATCCGATCCCAATCCCATTGGTTAAGCATTGACCAAGCCATGGACACTAACGCTGCGTTCTCTGACGAACGAATTTACAGGATCTGATGGTCGGGGACGAGGCGTCACAGCTGCGGTCCCTGCTAGAGGTCTCCTATCCCATGGAGAACGGCGTGGTGCGCAACTGGGACGACATGTGCCACGTGTGGGACTACACGTTCGGGCCCAAGAAGATGGACATTGATCCCACAAACACAAAAATTCTGCTGACCGAGCCGCCCATGAATCCCACAAAGAACCGAGAGAAAATGATCGAGGTAAGTCGCAGACTTCAATTCTTTCAAACTTAACTAACGATATTTTTCGTTTCTTAAACACAGGTGATGTTCGAGAAATACGGCTTTGATTCCACATACATTGCCATCCAGGCTGTGCTGACGCTATATGCCCAGGGTCTGATCTCGGGTGTTGTGATCGACTCGGGCGATGGTGTAACGCATATATGTCCCGTGTACGAGGAGTTTGCCTTGCCCCATTTGACGCGGCGACTGGACATTGCTGGTCGCGATATCACACGTTATTTGATTAAGGTTTGTGCGTGAAAAGCATACTTTTTGGATCATAACTTAATTGAACTTGGATTTTCTCTTTCAATAGTTACTGTTACTACGTGGCTACGCTTTCAATCATTCCGCTGACTTCGAAACGGTGCGCATCATGAAGGAGAAGCTCTGCTACATCGGCTACGACATCGAAATGGAGCAGCGATTGGCCCTGGAGACGACGGTGTTGGTGGAGTCCTACACTCTACCCGATGGCCGGGTTATCAAGGTCGGCGGAGAGCGATTCGAGGCGCCGGAAGCCCTGTTCCAGCCGCATTTAATCAACGTGGAAGGTCCGGGAATTGCGGAACTGGCTTTCAACACGATCCAGGCAGCCGACATCGACATCCGGCCCGAACTTTACAAGCACATAGTCCTGTCCGGCGGTTCCACCATGTATCCGGGTCTTCCCAGTCGGCTGGAGCGGGAGATCAAACAGCTGTATTTGGAGCGGGTACTCAAGAACGATACGGAAAAGCTGGCGGTAAGTCAATAACATATTATTACGTTCACCAGATTCGTTTCCAGTTCAAATTAGTATAGTCTAATTCTATTAAGGGTATGAAAATTGATTTATCGAGAGAACATTGTTTTCTTCGGGATTCTTTTCTTTAAATATGACGATTACACACAGCTAAATATCATTCGGCGTTTAAATTTTCAATCAAAATATAATGGCCAATAATTAGTTAATGTTTCAAGATAACCATATAAGTGAACCTATTAGGGAGTGTAAATTATATTCTTTTGTGTGTCCGCACGTTGTCCCTCGCCGCTGTCCGTGAGGGTAAGGGGTCACACTCCAGTTGCCACCGTGGCTGGTTCCGGGGGAGGGGGTGATGACGCGATCGCCACCGTGGCTGGTTAGTTCTTATAGGTGAGCCGGGCGGTTGCCACTGGCTCTCTTCTCTCCTTTTAGGAAGACTACGTTGGGAGTAACTGACTCCGTTGCTAACGGCCCTTAAGGCACGATAACCAATTTCAATTAATAAGATAAGTGTTTAACGGCCAATGCCGGAGTTTTATGTTCGAGCCAATGCTCTTTATTCAACATCAAGATAAAAACTGAAAACATATATTACTTTACGTAAGCTATGCGCGGCCGGCAAGCCGACCGCTCGTGCAGTGAAGTGCTGACACTAGCAAAATCAACATAACTCCATACCGTGACCAATAACCAGGCTCGGCCCCTAAAGGCGTTCATGCTGATTTTGCAACTAAACCCTAGGGTGGTCCTAATGATCCCCCAATATCTGAATATTTTAGGGTGGTCCTAATGATCACCCAATATCTGAATATTTTTAGGGTGGTATTAATGATCACCCAAGATCTGTGTTAACAACTCTCCCCTTAGGAATATGACCGTCCTCGGTCATCTGGAATTTTTCAACAGCTTGTTTGATCTCCCGTGCGTCTCGTCTCCTCCTCAGCATCATGATGAGTAGGAAGGAGCAGCTGATGAGAAGACTGGCTCCCACGCCGACCGCGAACCAGGTGTCGGTAGTTCCAGCCGATTTCACTTCCTCCTTAAGTCCTTGGATGACCTCCAAGTTTTGGCTGTTAATTCTCTGGAGGAGTGGCATGCTTAGCGTGGGATCGTGGCCGATGATGTTGAGTAACGGTGAGGCCGCCATGCCTGGAGTTTTCCTTATGGCTTCACGTTGGTTGGAGTATTCGGTGCCATTGATGAGAGCCACTCGCTCGAACATGACGAGGTGCGAGCCGTTGGTAGTTATTTCAGGGCCATCGTCAGTGCTGACTTTAGCTGGGCTCTCGTTGATTATTATTACCCCGTCATCTATTAACGCGATGGGACTCAGGTGACTGGCTTGCGTCTCGCATAGTGCGGTACTCCCCGCGTGTAGGCCTCGAGCACAAGTATCGTGATCCGCCAGTTTGCAAAACGATGCGTAAGTTGTTAGTACACAATCGGTGACTGCTAGGACGTCGCTATTGCATTCGGCTACTGTGTTCTCCTTCAACTGCAGGATGGTGTGTTGGTGTGATACAGGGAAAATTGTGACCTTTTTGCAAATTGTTTTAATCTTAGGGTATGCGATTAGCACATGGATTATACTATCGGACTGAAGGACTCTAATGTTAGACGCCTCTAGTAGGCTAATGATGGGGACTTCTGTGGGGTGATCAACAAATACAGACTTCAAATCATTTTGATTAAAAATTGCTGGGTTTATGATGTTGGCTTTTGCAAGCGTGACTGTAAGCATTACGTTTTGAATCTCCGTTATTAGTATTCTATTCCTGGCCAAAAGTACCTCGTACAAGTGAGAAGTGTCAACTACATTATTTTGTTTTGCCTTGATAATTTTATAAACGGTCTCTGTTAATTCATTAATTTTATTCTGCGTCTGCGTATTTATTATAACCTGCCGGTTATTTGATTCAATTAAATGTGCCTCGGACATTTTTAGCATATCGAAATCGGCCGCATTAGGTGTGCCCGCAATTACTTTGAGGGCGGTGCCTAGGAAGTCTAGGCTCCTGGCCATCCTATGGTGTACCTTTAAAACAGACAATAAACTTCTAACGTGTTCGGTATCGACGTCTAACAATTTTCTCATATGAGACTGTGGGAATAAATCGGACAACCTAGTAGTTTCTTCTACTATAATTGAAAATTCGGACAAATTACTTGAATGTCGAAGTAAGTTTCTCTGTTCCCATACTAACGCAATTCCGTCCGTAATTGGGATGTACTGAGCATGCGAATAATCCGTTACTCTAGCGTTAACTATGGTTAACGTTATCAATAAAATTCCCGCAATCCTGTAAGAAGGCGAAAGGTTAAAACTACTGTGTAAGTATGCTAAGATATAGTATGTAAGAAAATAAAGTAAAAAAGGTAAAAAAGTTGAGGGGTATTTTTATCTAAGGTTGTCCTTGTGGACCACCCTCCCTCTAATAAGGACAGACGTTCCCATGTCTGCTTGTACGCGCTCTTCTGTGTACAGTGGGGATAGTTTATTTCCTAACCTTTTGTTATTTTTGATGTATACTTTTTCTCCTACCTCAAAAATTCTGTTTTGTCTAGTAGGGTTGCACCTATTTAGATTGGCCTGTTGTGCCTTTTCAATATTACTTATTATCGCCAATTTCTGTTCGGCATTGGTTGATTGCAAGGCCTGCTTGGGCGGCAGCCTTGTCACAGAATGTATTGTCTTGTTATACTCTACCGTGGCTCTCATAATAAGCTCAACCGTATCGTCAATTTTTTGGCCGATTTTCATGCACCTAGCTATCTCAGTTAGGGTACTGTGGAATCGCTCCACTTGCCCGTTTGAGCTGCTGTGTAGAGGGGGTGCGTTAACAATGTCAATGTTATATTGATTTTTCAATAATGAGGTTATAGTCTCCGAGTTGAAAGATGCCTCATTATCACAATATATTGTTTTAATGTTTGGGAAAAAATTTATTAGTTGTAATATGGGGCTGCGCACATCGACTATGGCCCTAGAAAGTAATGGCTGTACTACAGCGAATTTTGAAAATTTATCTACGCAGGTTAAGAAAAACCTCTTATCCGTAGAGTATATGTCTATATGCAGCATTTCGCCAGCATATGAGGGGGTTGGTGTGATACCCAACTCCTGCTTCTTGGCGTGTCTGTTGTACTTCCCTTTGGTGCATGTCTTGCAGTTTACAACCACTTCGTTAGCGAGTTTGGACATATTTGGAAAGTAGTAATCCTGAAGGACTTGTTTGACATTTTCTTGGGCTGCCCTGTGAGCGCGGTTGTGTTCGCAGATAATTATTTCTTTCTGTTCATTTGCATCCGTGATGTCATTCACGAATTTTTTGCAATGCCAGAACTTGGTTGCTGGGAATTCGGTCACCAAGGCATGTTGGATGCAAGCTAGTGCAGGGAGGTCGCAGTAAATGGCGTTAACAACATCTACATTTACTACCTCTTTGACCAATTCGAACAGCGAGTCCTTGTTATTGAATTGGATTATGTGTCGGTTTTTGGTCCCGAAAACTATGAAGTGTCGCCGTAAAGGCTGCTCTGCTTCCTCCAGGATTATTTGATTCCTGTAGCAGTTCAGGGGTTTATCAGTAGATCCGACCGTGTAGGTCACAGAAAGTTCACTGTGAATAGTGGCTACGTCAGATTGGGGTTCGTTTAGTATAGCATTTATGTTTTGTCGTGATAAAGCGTCAGCCACAAAATTTTCCTTTCCGGGTTTGTAGAATACCTTGGCGTTATGTTCTTCGATGAATGCTTTCCATCGTTTAATTTTTGCATTTGTATTTCGCTCGGATACAGCGAAGGTAAGGGGTTGATGGTCCGTAAAAATCCGGATCTCTTTTGTGCCGTATAGGTAATTTTGTAATTTTCCTATGGCCCAAACAATTGCCAATAATTCTCTTTCGTTTGTTGCGTAATTGAGCTCGCAGTCTTTCAACGTGCGAGATATCATTGTGATTGGCCTGCCTTTTTGGGACAGTACCGCACCGATACCGCTTGCTGAGGCATCGGTTGTCAAATCGAAAGGAAGTTTAAAGTCTGGATATGTTAGTATCACATCTTCTGATGACAAAATGTCTCGCAGGCGCTCGAACGCTCTGCGTTGGGTCTCATCAAATTCGATAGCAACCTTTTTTGACATGTGTTTGTTAACAGTGCCATTCTCTCCCTTAAGTATGGAGGTAAGTGGTCTAGCTATGGTAGCGAAGTCTTTGACAAAACTTCTGTAGTAGCTGGCCAATCCTAGAAAAGACCTAAGACTGAACAAATTTTTTGGTTCGGTGTACTCCTGAATGGTTTTTACCTTTTCCGGGTCTGTTTTGGCTCCGCTTGATGTAACAATGAAACCTAAAAATTCAACACTTTCCTTGAAGAATTTGGTTTTTTCCGGTGCCACTCTCATGTTGGCTTCGCACAGGCATTTTAGGACTGTGTCAATGTGTATAACGTGGTCGGCAGCATTTTCGGAGAAAATTATCACGTCGTCTACATAGACGTAACAAATTTTCCCGATCTGTTCACGTAGTACATCGTCAATCGCCCTTTGAAAGATGCTTCCCGCATTTTTCAATCCAAAGGGTAGACGGCAAAATTCATACTTTCCTCCGTTTATGGAGAAAGCAGTTTTTTCGCGGTCTTTCTCAGCCAGATAAATCTGGTGGTACCCCAACTTTAAGTCTAGGGTAGTAAAAAATTTTGCCTTTCCTAAGTTCGCTAGAATCATAGGAATACTTGGCATAGGGTAACGGTCGGCGATGGTTCGTTCATTCAGTTTCCTGAAATCGATCACCAGTCGTTTTTTCTTGTTGCCATCTGCATCAATTCCCTTTTTGTCAACAACCCATGTTGGGCTGTTAAATGGTGACCTAGAAGGCCGGATAATGCCATCCTTTAACAGCTGTTTGATTTCTGTGTTAACAAAATCTGCTGCTCCCATGGGGTAAGGATATAGCTTGGAATATACGGGTTCGTTAGTCTCCGTACGAATTGTGGCAATGATCGAGGTGTTAAAAGGTAGCGCCTCGTTAGAGTGCGAAAACACTTGTTTCCTCTTAAGGATCATTTTTTTAAATGCAGCTTTCACTGAATCTGGGACTATTAGATCATCGATATTAGTGAAGTTCACGTTATCGCATTCGTGGAATTTAAGCTGTTCAGATATGTTTCCATATCTGATAACGCTGTTACGTAAATCTAATGCCGCTCCGGCCTGCGTTAGCAAGTCGAAACCTATTATGGCATCAAAAGTGTTGATAGTATCAAGTAAAAAAAATTGAGCCTTTAGGCCAAATATGTGCATAAAGCACTTTTCTTTTATATTACTGGAGCCATGAATGGAACTCACAGTGAATGGGGAGTCGACAAGCATTATGTTCTTCAGCTCCTTTAGGGGCTTTACATAACTCTTTGCCGCTCCAGTGTCTAAGAGAATTTTTATAGTTCTCCCCGCCAGCCCTCGCTCAATAAAGGGCAAGCGGGACCTTCCCCTAAAAAATTGACGAGGTCGTTACAGTCAAATGAGTCACTGTCATCATCAACTGCGTTTAGTGCGGCTGCGGCCGCGTCTTCATAATCTTGAGTTTCTTCCGCGTTTGCGGCCTGCTCAACATTGTTAACCCGCTGGCGCCTTTGGCCAGTCATTCTCTCCGAAGAGTTTGGTCTTTTTGAGCCCTGCAAATTTTGGTATTGAGCGTTGTTTCCCTGTTTAAAATATGTAGGGTGTCGGAATTTAGAAGATGATGGATCAATGTCCATAGGTTCAGGGGACTGATTTTGTTTACCCTGATCTACCCAGTTGTCCTGTTTACGCCCAGAATCGTAGTTTTGATACTTGTTAGGTTTTTTGAAAAAATGGGGATTTTTTTCTGGTCCGCGGTCGGCACCAGAATTTTTCCCTTGTTTCTCGGGCGCTCGGTGTTGGCCTTTGTGAAAATCAGTATTCTGATTTCTTTGCTCAGCTACCTTGGCATATGTGGCCGCGAACATACTTCGTTCAATGCTGGCCTCTGCCTCTCTGGCTAATGCCAGTGCTGCTGGCAGGTCTTTTGGCTGTGCTGGAAACACAACAGCCCTTAGTGATTTTTTTAGACCAGAAACGAATACGTGTAGGGCGTCAGCCCTAACTTCTGTATTAAGTAATGCAGCCCTTTCATCGTCATGTGTCATGACAATTTTGTTTGTAACGAGGGTCAATTTTCGTTCGACCTCATCGTAGTACTGCATAAGTGTTTGGTCGCCCTGACGGACCGACTCAAGTCCCTGCCGTAATAGGCGCAAAGATGTTTTATCTGCGTAGGAGCAGTCTAATCTAGCTAATATGGCTTTAAAATTAAGCACTGTATTATACGAAACTAGCAGCGCACGCGCTGGTCCCTTAATTTTGTTTCTAATAATAGTGACGGCTTGGTAATGCGCGGTACTGCCCTGATAAGATTCGAAAAGTTCATAGGCATCGGTGGCGGATTGCCTCCATGCCACGTACTCATCTTGTACCCCAGTGAAATCTGGAACTGACTTCACTACATGTAAGGGTATATCGCACTGTGGTGCTCCCGGTACTACCGCTACCCTCTGGTAGGCTTCTACCTCTGGCGCTTCTATTCGCAAACTCTGAAGTTTTTGGTTAACGGCACTGATCTGATTCGCGAATTCGGCTCTGAGCCTCAGTTCTTGATTATTTAATGCGGCCTGAATTAACGCCTCTATTTGTGCCGCGTTCATGGTTTCTGCGTTATATTGTTGTGCCCGTACTGGTTGATATCTACTGGGTCCTTTAATTAATTCTTCTTCACTATCACTTTCAAGACCGCGTTTAGTTTCCCTATATGGGCCTGGAAAACTCATAAGGCCACTAATTGGTTGACACTAAACACAAGTTATTGGTAGGCCGAATGTTTTAATTCGACAAAAATAATTTTGTATATTATAATTTTATATCAAAAATCGGGTGCTTGGCGTCCAAAAAGAAAAAATTTGTTTAGGGACGGCCGATATTAATTCACATAAGTCACATTTGCAGTTGCTTTATTTAAACTGTTTTAAAATTTTGGGTAAATAATTTGTAGGGCTTTTTATTTATTTTTTCCCTGTATGCGTATTTGAAGTTTAACTGTATTAATTTGATCAGCCCACTTACATGTTTTTGGTGTCGTGGATTCGGTATTAAGGTTGGGTGCCAATTATATTCTTTTGTGTGTCCGCACGTTGTCCCTCGCCGCTGTCCGTGAGGGTAAGGGGTCACACTCCAGTTGCCACCGTGGCTGGTTCCGGGGGAGGGGGTGATGACGCGATCGCCACCGTGGCTGGTTAGTTCTTATAGGTGAGCCGGGCGGTTGCCACTGGCTCTCTTCTCTCCTTTTAGGAAGACTACGTTGGGAGTAACTGACTCCGTTGCTAACGGCCCTTAAGGCACGATAACCAATTTCAATTAATAAGATGAATGCTTAACGGCCAATGCCGGAGTTTTATATTCGAGCCAATGCTCTTTATTCAACATCAAGATAAAAACTGAAACTTATATTACTTTGCGTAAGCTATGCGCGGCCGGCAAGCCGACCGCTCGTGCAGCGAAGTGCTGACACTACCAAAATCAACAGGCTCGGCCCCTAAAGGCGTTCATGCTGATTTTGCAACTAAACCCTAGGGTGGTCCTAATGATCCCCCAATATCTGAATATTTTAGGGTGGTCCTAATGATCACCCAATATCTGAATATTTTTAGGGTGGTATTAATGATCACCCAAGATCTGTGTTAACATGTACATGTTTTGTATTCAACATTTTCTTTAGCCATACAAGTTTTTTAATTAGAAAGCAATTTCTGAATAAAATATGAATTGAATTCGAAACAGGGCCTGTTCTTCTATTTATCTGCTTCGTTTTTCAAAAGTTTTATTATTGTTTTACAGAAATTCAAAATACGAATTGAGGATCCGCCGAGGCGCAAGGACATGGTCTTCATCGGCGGTGCTGTCCTGGCGGAGGTGACGAAGGACCGCGACGGATTCTGGATGTCCAAGCAGGAGTACCAGGAACAGGGCCTCAAAGTATTGCAAAAGCTCCAAAAGATCAGTAACTAGAGTTGAAGACTTGTGAGAACGAGTGCAAGGACTACTGGAGTGGGATGAGTTGATAAGACCCCGGAAATTGGGATGAACAATTGTATAAATTTGTTTTGGCTAGTTCGTATAAGTTAAAAATTTTCAGTTTTGCGTGATGTATCTGTCTTTATGTGTGTTTTTGTGTGCCTGCGTGAGTAGGCGTGTCTGTTGAGCAGGATTGGTCCACTTGTCCTTAGATTCCCATAAATCGCATAACCGCAATGAATTGTAATATTTTTTTTCGCCGCGAGGCCAGCGCCTAATGTCGCCTAAATTGTGTAACCCTAAATTAGTATGTTTAATTGATTATGATTACGCCCAAAGCCCTCTTGTTTTTCTAAATATATAAATAAATTCCCCATATCGATATTTTTGTAACCGCATAATGTTTCATTTCGAGCGAGTATTTCACATTTAGTATTTACTAGGCCAAGTCTGCCAGTAGCAGCGATTATAAATCGTGTGTGTATGAGACAGAGAAGGAAATAGGGCAAGGCAAGAAAGTTGCACAGCATAGAAGGAGAGCGCGAGAGTTGGAGTTGTCTTGCTTTCGTTAAACTAAATTAACTAGATAACTAGATACACTGATTTAACCGCCTTTCCCTGCCTGCCACCTAACCTTAATTTAAGTATTTATGGGTTATCTCTAACTAGACAAAGATAAACCAAGTCGGTCAGCCCCAAGTTCTTGCATTTATGTTGCCCAATAACCGAAAGTATTATCAACCGAAGTGTTTCATTTGATTTATTTTCCCCCATCTGCCTTTTCTAGTTAGTTGCAATTTGATGATTGTTGGGGCAAACCGGACGCTACACATGCGTTACTATCGGTGCATATATAATATATATATATATGATCAAAATATATTTATATGTTTAATGAATGTGTAATGCCAATTATATAAGTAACTGCAATAAACATAATTATGTATGATGTATACTGTAGTCTAAAACTAAATCGTGTATGACTTGGATTTTTTTACCAACTAAAAACAAAACAAGAATCACAATAAAAACGAAAGAACAAATCCAATCTACGCTGTGTTATGACTGGGCGGCTTCCGATTCTCCCCCGTAAATAAAACAATTTACAGCCCCTGGTTAAAATGGTCTACTAACAATGGCAATGCTCTCATTCGCCTGCTTTGTGGCCGTAATCAGTGGCGCAATACTAAATACAAATTGTTTGGAGCCCCTCTAAATAAAGAGCAATATAATTCAACACTTCAAAAAACAACAAACAAAGAAAATCCTAAATAACAAAATATCGAATCTGGGAGCGGATCTGTCAATTGAAGGTGCCTTTCAGTTTGTATATTTAAAACGTAGTTATATTTTCAATTTAAAGATTTCTTATGTTTGATATTAAGTTGAAGTGTACTTCTATTTTCTCAATTTATGTTTAATTTATATTGTTCATAGATACTATAATTATAATATTAATATAGTTTAGTATCCATGTTTTGTAGTTTGTTTTGGTTTAAAGTTCTACTATTTACCCTACTTCATAGATACGTTAATGTAATAGACCTTGAGTGCGTGTTATCATCACTTATAATGATAAGTTCCATGGAAAGCCGTATAAAATGAATCAGAAATTTCTTTTAAGACGTTTACATCTACAAACGTTTCTGATTTAGGGCCCATTATTATTCACCTCCATTGACTTGCCTCCGGTTCGCACCTGTGGACGTCCGATAAGAGCAATCCGGTCCGTCTGCTCGTCGGGCAGATAAGTTCTTTGTTTTGGGCCCACCTCCCACTTGGACTGCAGTGCTCCAATCAGTTGGAAAAACGACGCAGCATGGGCCATACGACGATCCGCAGCAGAGGGGAGCTCCTGGTAGTGGGCCTACTCCTTACACTGGGACTCCAGGTGGTCAGATCTGAGTTTGGCGACCTGGCCGGCGATTGGCTGGTGGATTATGGTCAGTCGGAGCTCCGATTGCTGGAGGGCGAAAGTCAGCAGGTGCAGCTGCATATATACAACGTCCAGCCCAAGGATGCTTCCTTGGATTACAGTTTTTTGGTCTACTCGAAGGACGAGCAGAGGGCTTCGTCTCTGGTCACGATAAAGAAGGAGGATTTCGATCAGTTGGGTAGCTGGCGCGGATTAGTCGATGTTACTGGCGAGCGATTTGGATATAGTTCGTTGGAGGTGGAGCTGCAATCGGCTGGAGAGAAGGAGGTGCATCCGAATCCCCTGGCCATCGTGGTCCTAAGATCGCGGGTGGTCGATGAACGTGTCACCACCTATGTGTCCGCCGCTTTGGCCCTGTTGATGTTCCTCAATCTGGGCACGGTCTTGGATCTGCATCGGCTGGCGGGGATCGTTTGCCGACCCGTTGGACCGGTGGTGGGTGCGGTCAGTCGGTTTGTGGTGATGCCCGCCCTTGGATTTGGACTGGGGCGTGCCCTTTGGCCGGGGGCGTGGCCAATGCAACTGGCCCTCTTCTACACCGCACTGGCGCCCAGTGGCGGTCTGGCCAACGTGTGCGCCGTCTTCCTCAAGGGAAACCTCAATCTTTCGGTGGCCACCACCACGATCAACGGCCTGCTGGCCCTCGCCTTCCTCCCCATCTGGATCCTGGTGCTGGGCAGGCTCCTCTACGAGGACGATGAGCTGGCGGTGCCGTTTGGCCAGCTCTCTGGCGGAGCGGCTGCCCTGGTGGCCTGTCTGGCCATTGGCGTCCTCCTGCGTCTCTGCCTGCCGCGCACCACGCGCTTCATCTTCCGCTTCCTGAAGCCCCTCTCCGTCATCCTCAGCTTGTGTTTGGTGGGGCTGACCGTGGGACTCAACTGGTTCGTTTTCCTCGAGTTTACCTGGCAGGTGAGTGGTGGCTCCAAATGGGCATCTTAAACTCTTTTTTCTTTTTACTTATATTTACATATAAAATCATAAGACTTTTGGTCAATATGTTGTTCCTCAAAATCAATTTCCTTTCCATTTTAAATTTTAAAATATAAATGTTTTCTTTTTAAATCGTTTTTTAATTTAGTGAGTAACAACTGTTAATAATTAAGATATGACATACTTTTTAGTGGACAAAAGTAACTATTTTTATAAAAACTAACCTTTTTAAAATACAAATTGAAAGAATTCCAATGAAATAGAAATATACATTTCAAATTTTAAAACATAAATGTTTTCATATCAAATATTTATTGAATTTTAGTGAGTAATAGTTTTAAGTAAAGTATTTTAATAATATATAATGATAACTTAGGATAGAATAAGTATTTAGGCATGCACTACTTATGTTAGAAATGTTTTCATATCAAATATTTATTGAATTTTAGTGAGTAATAGTTTTAATTAAAATATTTTAATAATATATGATGATAACTTATGACAGAATAGGTATTTAGGCATGCACTACTTACATATATGCTGCACCACTAAATGTATACTGTATATGACTTGTTTCCCCTCAGGTTCTGGTGGCTGCCCTGTGCCTGCCCCTCGCTGGTTACCTGGCCACCTACCTGCTGTCCAAGCTCCTCTGCCGATCGGCCACCGACGCCCTGACCTTGGCCATCGAGGCCAGTGTCCTGAACATGACCATGCCCATTGTGCTGCTGCAGTCCAGCCAGCTGGAGCAGCCACAGCTGGATCTGGTCCTGGTGGTGCCCATTGCCTCGTCCCTGATGTCGCTGGTCCTGGTGATCCTGTTCTATGGGGTTCGGCGATGCCTTGGCTGGAACAAGCGGCAGGATGAGGATGGTTTCGATCACAAGCAGCTGATCGCAGAGCACGAGGAGCAAGAGGGTGACGTCTACCAGCGGCCTTAAATCGATCCTAAATTATCGGATTTATTGATCCTATTGCCTTATCGATTGAACCTATCGAAAGAAGAAGTTTTATATTACGTAACTTAGTCTGAGGGTTATTTTAATTTCATACAATTTGATATAATTTTAGTATCTAAGAATTAAGTTTGAAAATATTTGTAGATTGTGTAATATTTAAGTTAATAAAATAAAAACAAATTTATTAAGAGAGTAGCACTCCGTTCAATATTTTTAAAGTTTTAATAAATAACAAAATAATGGGATAAATAGAAAAATTAATATATAAACCATTTATTTTATCCTTTGTTTCGTTATCATTAAGTTCATTTGATAACTTAAATTGTAAGTTATTTAATGAGTGCCACAGAATGTGATCGCTTGCCCCAAGGTGCATCGGCCGCTGGACAAACCTGGTCGGCGTTTGGGAACTCTGGATGGTGGGGCATGATGTCATCAGTTCGGTGCGATGCATGGCTGCCTATTACGACACACGAACATGGCACATGGTACGGTACATACAGTACCCATATATATAAATATATGTATATATATATATTACATGTACACTACTGGCCAAAATAATAAGTACATAGGTAAATGTATCATTTCTTGAGACATAGCTCGAAAGCTATCGAATGGAGGGCTGCTAGTTGATTATATTTTGAAAGGTTATTGTGTTGTAAAACATTTAAATCAAAAATGAAAATGGGGAACCCCATTTATCTAGTGCTAAGCCTAAATTTGTTCTGGATGGTCGTTTTTGGTCTGGTCAAAATAATAAGTACACTTCCATTATTCACAAATTTGAAAGGATTACGTTTAGAATTGGACTACGGTATGTTGATTTTTAATGATTTCTTGCATTTTAAGTATATTCGGGTTACAAAAAATTCTTTAGATGGGCCGAAAAAAGCATTGTACCCTGGAAGAAAAGAAGATTGCCTTGAATCTTCAACAAGAAGGAAAAAGTCTACGAGAACTTGCGACCAGCCCTGGACGCTCGGTGTGTTTTATTCAGAATGCCTTAAAATCGAAAGATCCTTCCGAAAAACGAGGAAGGAAGAAGAAATCTTCCCAAACGACGGACACCCGCATCGTCAGTCTGGCAAAAAAGGATCCCTTTATGTCTTCCAAGTCCACTGCCGCTGAAATCGGCAATGCAATATCATCTCGAAAGGTTCGGTGCAGACTTAAAAGTGCCGGCCTAACAGGACATATAGCCAGAAAACTTCCTTTACTTCGGAAAAAAAATTTACAGATGAGGCGCCAGTTTGCACAAAATCATTTGGCATGGTCTGGACCAGAAGGTTCTAAAAAAAGGAACAATGTGTTATGGAGCGACGAATCAAAAATAAACCTTTTTGGTAACGACTCTAGACGTTATGTACGACACCCAAAAGGTAAAGAATTCGACCCCCGGTACACAAAGAAGACCGTTAAGCACGGAGGCGGATGCATAATGGTTTGGGGCTATTTTTCTTGGCATGGCGTTGGTTCGATACATCGCATAGCTGATATTATGACCCGATTTGGGTATAAAAGTATACTCGCTAACGTTATGCTACCATATTCTGAGGAAAACATGACTTTGAGATGGGTCTTTCAACAAGACAACGACCCAAAACTCACCTCAAAGCTGGTCAAGGCTTGGTTTACCGAAAACGAAGTAAATCTTATGAGTTGGCCAAGCCAGTCTCCGGACTTAAATCCGATTGAGAGCCTATGGGAACACTTAAAACTTCGTATCGGCACAAATACTTTTCGAAATGCCGCAGAATTGTGGACATTTGTCCAAAAAACCTGGTATGACATTCCAATGGATACTAGTAGCAAGCTTATTGCTAGTATGCCAAAACGAATCGCCAAAGTTGTACAAAAAAAGGGTGGCTATACTGGATACTAGTTACAGATTAAGAAAATCAAGGAAATGTTGAAAAATTGTTGTTAAGTTTTGAGTTTTTGAGTTTGTAGAATTGGTGTACTTATTATTTTGACCAACCCATTTTTATGTTTTTTAGATATAATCAACCACAAACTTTATAAATGAATTGAAAAATGCCTATGCTAACTATTTTTATAATCTAATATATATCAAAAAGCTATAAGTAAATTTAAGCTTTTCTTTATGACCATTAAAGAAGTTTTACGAGAAGTTAAAGAAACCGTACAAGGGTGTACTTATTATTTTGGCCAGTAGTGTATATGTATAGTGTGTGTGCACGTGTTTGTGTAGGGAGGAAGATATAAAAATAAGTGCTACCTTTGCCTGCACACGTGTGTGCTGGTGTTGGTGTGCGTGGTCAACTAACGGTTCACGCGCGGAACGCATAACCGAGCCCCATCATACCCCCCACCCCCCCGAAAACCCAAAAACACCCCCCCACCCCCGCCGACCTCGTTAGAAAGCCCCGACAATGTCCTTTCGGGTATAAATACATTTTGCAAAGGTGGCATGGTAAGGTAATAATGGTAATCATAATTTAACAGGAACTTAACTATCCATAACTGGGATTAAAATTATTTTACACTTCATTGGCATCGCATAAAATTCGTGGGCTTATTACTATTTGTATTATATTGACCGATGGAAGTTAACATTTGTTAGAGGATATCGGTTTAGTATGTATCAAATAGTTACACTGTAAAATATTTCGGGCGAGCTTAGGTAGCCCTAAAGTATTGTTTTTGCTTCACATTTGGTCTTGCCTAACCAGTTGATATCTCAAATCCTTAAAAAAAGGTTTTTTTTAACAAATAGTCAACAAACTGTTTTTTAATCCAACGGAAATACTATAAAAACTATTTATGTTTAATTTGGTCATAATATTATTGTAATTGGTTTTCCCAAAATTATTTAATTTTTGTGCTATTCAGTTTTTATCGAAATAATTGTTATCCCTCAAATGCACATTGAACACCCATTGTGATGTAGTCAAGTTGATACTTTTCAAAAACTGTTTCGTTCGAATGCCCTCCAGGTGGTTTGGCCATTGATTGAATTCGTTCGTTGTTTGCTGGTTTTGATTACAGCCCAAAACTAGCGACTATGCCTAAACGTGTACCTATACCTATATCTATACCTATACCTATACCTATACCTATACCTATACCTACTATACCTATACCTCTACCCATTCCCCTCCGCTGGCACCACTCGATTGCCTCTCTCTGGAGGCCCATTGAAACAGTGGCGGCGTACGTTTTGCAGCGACTGTGGGCCGCCCGCTCATTGGGCTACACTTAGCAGCGATTCCAGTGAGTTTCGAGATTTTATTAGCCTCGGATGGGATGTGGGTTGGACTGGCATGTGAGAGGAGATGCCGGGAGGCTGGGAGCAGTTAGTGGCTCCTACCCATTCCACTCCCTATCCCTAACCCTATTCCTATTCCTATACCTATTTCTATCCCTATTTCTATCCCTATTTCTAACCCCAATCCTATCCCTATCCATTTCCCTATCCCTGTCCCCATCCGTGGCCATCCCGTCCAGCATAATATGCGACTCCATTGACCGTTCTGGCCTGCTGCTGCGCATTGCAGTTAACCTCAAAACGAACAATGCAGCAAGCACACTGAAAGAATCAGGATGGTCGAAATAAATATAATTATTTTTTTTTTTTGTTTTAACAGAGCTTAACCTATTTCGTAAACAGACCTGTTGTAAATCTATTTGATTTGGCCTTTAATAAAATTGGCTAATGGCATCTTAAACAGCATTTTTATTTTCATAATAGTTGGCTTTATTTAGTTTTAAATTTGTCTTTCAAGTCAGTTATATCAATCAGACATTGGATATAGGTTATACCCTACAAAAATGAGTCCATCAGTAATTTGTCCTTTAGATCACTTTTGAATATTTTATTCTCAGTGTACCCATGGTGCTCCATTTTCGGTCTGTGCCAAGACAACTTTGAAAAGGAGTTGCAGCACTTTTTCGATGAGGCAATTTCATTCTCAGCTGGGCTTTTGCCCCATTGGCGGTGCAGCTGCACTTGAGCGAGGGGGGGAGGGGGGTTAAAAGGCTGGTGAATGCGGGGAAATGGTGAAATGGATACGGGGGGAAGGGTCGGGTTGGATGGCTGGGGGTAAATAGTGGCAGCCGTTGGCAGGGGCCACAAGTCAAAGCAAGGCATTTGGTTTCGTTTCGTGACATTTGGATGATTTCTGCCTATTTCCTGGCCAAAACACACAGCCCCCCGACCCTCCTTCCCCCTCCTTAACCCTTATAGCCCAGCCCCCCCCACTCCCTTCTTAACCCTCTGGCCGACTTTAATCGCGTGCTTGGCGCACATTTTAACGCTCGACGTTTTCAGTTGACGGTTGCCACAGCAACACAACACGAACTGCAAATGCAATGCAAAAGAGCAGTGGGCAAATTGAGGGGGGTGGTGGGTGACCAGGTGGGTGGTGCCTGGCCGGTGACAGGTTGGCCATGGGCGGATAGTGGGTGCTGGGATCTAACCTATTTACAACCGAGGAAGGTGCGTTGTCAAATCGCTTCTCGCTGCTCTTCATTTCCTGTCTCCATTTCCAGGCGCAAAAAAAAAATCTGCCAGGAAATTCACTTGCACGCCAGTCGCAGTTACGGCCAACAAAACAAAACAGAACAACAAAAAAAATAAACAAAAATTGCCAAAATAAAACGGGGAGCGAGGAAAAACGAAAAATTCAAGTCAATTATCCCCAGCACGTGTACATAAATATTATGCGTAATTATGGCGCTCGAGATGGCGATGGCATAATTAGCCCTGTTACTTCTATATGCGCTTATTATGGGGCTCGTGTTGCTGTTGTTGTTGCTGTTGCTGTTGCTCTGCCGACAGTCCTCAAACTGTCAACGCATATTGAGCAGGAGCAGCTACAGTCACACAGTAGAACCAATGCCTTGAATACCCTTTAAACAGCCAGGTAATCCTTGGAATCGCTTACCAAATAAATCCACTTCCCACAATACTCACTTGAGAACAAGATGGGCTAGTTTAGTTTATATACTTTTGTAGTTATAAAAGAAATATCTGATTTTCATCAAATTTACTATACAAAATGTGGGCTTAACAGTATCAGAAAACAATTGCATTTTATCAAATATTTATAAAATAAAATAACTTGATCAAAAAAAGTTGAATGTCGATAGCTTTTAAAATCGAGTGAGAAAACATGCAGATCTGGAAAATATATAATATCCACAAACTTTCTTCAAGCATCTCACCCAAA